AATACATAGTTTTTTGTTGAGCTCGATCTTATAAAGACGGCCGTAAAACGTCGATCCCTAAGAGACATGTAACGACAACTTTTTGTTTTGCGTCCGTTTAAGGCCACCGTGCAAGCAGACTTTCAACCAAGTTAATTTTAAGCAAACTTTGTAATACTTATATTGCAGTGAAATGGAATTCCTTCTCCTTACAGGAGAAAAAAGTAAAAAGTACTTGTAGGTCGAAATTAAGGGTTAGGATTTCAAATACGAATTAAATTTATTCCTTATTCATAATTTATAATAGTTTACGGCTTTTCTTTGAATACTGAAGAATACCGTATGCAAATTATCACGCACCACAGAACTTCGCCAACAATATGCAAATAAGTTACTCATCAAAAATATTGAGCACGGGCGCCCTGTGCCTTCTCATCACTTGCAAACGGGAAAAACATTGACTTGAGTAGCCGATTCAATGTACAAATTTGTTTAATTATGGCCACTGGTCTGATAACTCAAAATATTCTTCACTTGAAGAGTGATATTGGTACTTGTGAAATCGAGCTTTGTGTTGGAGACATCACAAAACTTCAACGAGAGGACAAAGTCGATGTACTTGTTGTTTCTGCCTTTCCAGGTTGGTCGATAGTGAAATTGAATATTCAGTTTTCATTCTCGTATTTCGCGAGAAYATGGTTAAAATAGGGCTTCTTGAGGACTTTGAGTCGGGAAAATGTTTATGTTTTTATTGCAAAGCCCGTGACTGAAGAGAGTTATATATATGATAATAGAMTTCTGAACCTTTTACGTCACTACTTGATTTTCAATGCATTGTGGGATCAGTTTCACGAGAAAACAAAAGAAATCCGCCATGTTCTGTCCCAAACATATCCTACAATGCATTGCGTATACGGTACATGACGTAAAAGCTGCAGAGGACTATTCACTTAATAATTAATTTCTGCCGGTCAAACAGCAGTTCCAGTCGGCTAAAAATGATCCATTGCTTGAAATATTTCAAATCTAAATAAACTTAGGATAACTGCGGATAACTGATTGTGCAATRCATCGATCAATTACGGAGCTTATTCAGATTCAATACGTGCTTTAATATTCTTGTTGCCGGTGTTGATTTTTGTCCTTTCAACCTAAATGTTACCTCTATGCACAGGCGATATTCAAAATTGGTTGTCAAATCGTCGTGATGATTGACTGTGGACTCAGTCTCAGATTTGTAACTAGGTCTTGTTTAAAGGGTGACATAGGTTTTGCGGCCAAACTCTTTTGTTTTAAATCCTCCAGGAAAAAGAAAGCAAAGGAGTTTGTCTCTACTTCCTAGAGGCACCCTATCACGAGCGTAAACAGAACAGAATGGAAGAAACGTTTTTCATATATATGAAATCTGTGAACTTAAATTTTAATGATAAGATGAAACTTTTACGAAACTTTTTTTAACTTTCTTACACGTTTAGGACTCTAGGTCTTTTTAAAAATAGGGCTGCAGGATGGAATTATTTATTGATCAAATATGATCTTCGATCTTGAAAATTCAGTCTTATTGAATTGAAGTGATGTGGAGTGGGCGATGTATGCAAACAAAGGAATTTTGGAGGATATATTATAGTTTTTGCAAATGACAATTGCAATTGCCATTCACTAATGCAATCAAAATTGAAAAAYTAAAAACAACAACAACAACAACAAAACAAGCAAAACTAAACTAAAACAAATAAATCAATTACCAGATGTGAATATACGTATATGGTATCTCCAGTGACAGTTACATGACCAGCTATATATGACATACAGCTGACTCCCCTTCGTTGCTGATGACGTCACAGCATGTTTACACTTGCGGAAAAAAATTGCCAAAACGAACAGTTAACATAGCGGCTCGTTTTGTTTCTTTGCTTTTGTTTTCTTCCCGTTTTCAATTAATGGTAAGACCAGTAGCMCATTACTAGTAATGGGCTCAGAGAAATATGCATCTGACATAAGAGAGTACTCGAGCCTCTGTAGAATGACCACATGTTTTGACAAGTGTGCGTCATCAACTTCAGAGCCAACCAGTCGTAACCAAAGGCATATTTATCCAGAAGTTATGTAGTTTGTGTGTCAGCGACGCTCAACAGGTCTCAGTCCCATAGATGATACATCTGGCAAGCGACTCACTGAAAGAGAGGACATACTGCATCGTTGGAAGGAGCATTTCTCCACCTTGCTCAATCAACCTAGCAACGCAGACATCTCAGTCTTGGATGACATCCCACAAGAAGACATTGTAGTCGAGCTCGAAGATCCACCATCTGAACAAGAAGTCAGCAAAGCCATGAAACAAYTGGCAAGTGACAAGGCCCCAGGACCTGACTGTATCCCAGCTGAAGTCCTAAAGGCTGGAGGCCAAACACTTCTGACAKAACTTCACAAGCTTCTCCTTAAGATCTGGAATGAAGAAAGAGTGCCTCAAGATTTCAAGGATGGCCACATAGTGTCTCTTTTCAAGAAAAATTGCCGTTTCACCTGTGGCAATTACAGAGGTATTACACTCCTGTCAATAACTGGCAAACTGTTTGCCCGTGTGATCCTCAACCGCATTTGGCCAACAATTGAAAGGTTCTATCCAGAGGCCCAGTGTAGCTTCAGAGGGGGCCGTTCAACAAACGACATGATGTTTGCCATGCGTCAGCTCATAGAGAAGTGCAAAGAACAGCATCAACAGCTCCACATCATATTCATCGACCTAGTTAAAGCATTCGATACGGTCAACAGGGAACTAATGTGGAACCTCCTTTCAAGGATAGGAATCCCAMCCAAAGTTGTTCAGATCATAAGAAGTTTCCACGATGGAATGCAGGCAAGAGTATCGATTGSTGGAGAGTTCACTGACTCCTTCAATGTSTCATCAGGTCTTAGACAAGGATGCATTCTCGCACCTGCCCTATTCATCTTGCTGTTCACCTACGTCCTCCGCAAAGCCCATCAGTCAATGCCAGACTTTGGAATCGAYATTCGTCACAAAYAGGATGGTAAACTTTTCAACCTTCGCCGCCTGAAAACAAAGTCAGCTACCAAGACAAGATTAAGTGACTTCCTGTATGCCGATGATGCGGCTCTTGGAACATCATCACAAGCCTCTCTACAGCAGGCAGCAACAGCACTYAATGAGTCTTGCAACAGCTGGGGCCTCACCATCAGCAAGCCCAAAACTGAAGTCATGCACATAGAGTGCCATGATGCTGAACCAACAAAGCTAGATGACTTCGAACTTAAGAGAGCTCATACGTTCACATATCTAGGGKGAGTCCTTACAGATGATGGCWGTTTGGAACCTGAAATCAAGAAGAGGATCAGTCGAGCTGCGTATACATTCCGATCTCTGAACACACGATGCTGGAACAGAAATGGCCTATCTATCAACACAAAGCTGACAGTGTACAAGGCTGTGGTACTACCAACACTGCTATATGGAAGTGAGACCTGGTTCACCCTTGCTAGGTTCATACA